GTCTCTTCGTACCTTCCAATACAAAGGTACAAAGGTCTTTTGGCGGCCTCGTTGGTTACCTTCCGTCCTCTGTTTTCTTTAGCTTCGTTTTCGCGTCGTCTCTACTTCCAGCTTCGACGTTCTTCGTCTTCAGTCCGCACGCCTTCCTGATGTTTATACGATGTGTGTTTACGATGTGTCTGTACGTTGTGTGTCCGCCTGGTGTACGACCCAAGCCACCCGGGGGACAGGTGGTGCGTTTCGTACCTCGTGTGCTGGGGCCACAGTGGGCATTTTGTTTATGGGCGATGTGTTCGCGTCGTTTCTCGAGGTTTTCTACGGATTCTTGCTCGTTTTTCTCCCTCCAGTCGTAGCCCTCTGGATGCTGAGGGTGTTCTGGATTTATATCTGGGGGTGTCACTTCATTCTTCCTCTACTTCCGGGTGTGGGATGGCTCGACGTGGCACCTCCTCCTCCCCCTCTGTACTGCTCCGTCTTCTGAAGCGGGACACACGCCTCTAGACGTATTTATCCTTCGACTTCCGAATTTTATTCAGGTAACGGTACATACAATGCCTACTGCCTCAAGTATGCTTGGCTTTCGGGCGCGCCATTAGCGCTGTTCCTGGTATGTTGCTTGGCTCGCCTGTGTTGTGGCACGGTCATGTGTCTGCTCTGCAGGTGAGGTTGTCATGTCTGGCGCCTCTGTCGGCCAGGTGCTGGTTCTCGCTTTTTTGTGGGGTGCATGCCTAGTTGTGCTTGCGGGGGTTGAGCTCTGGCTCTTGGGCGCCGCCTCTCCTGTCAGTTGACGGTTGTGCAGTTTCCTGAGCCTCCTGGGCTCTGTCTTCTCTACGTTTGCTCCTGTGGGTGGTGTCTTCCTCCACCACGTAGCTTCCTAGTGCTTTCCGCTTCCTTTCCCCTCTGACATTGATCAGATTCTTTTTGTTTATGTGGCTCCTTTGGGTACTCAGCTTCCTCCTGTGTCCCTTTGTGCTTACGGACATACGAACATAAGAACAGTGGAACTGCAGAGGGCCTATTGGCCCGTACGAGAAAGCTCCTATTTCTTACCATCCTTTCCCACTCATATACATGTCCAACCCACGCTTGCTCCAGTTGTGGGGCCCCACCACTACGTTCCGTGGTAATTGGTTCCGCGAATCACCGAACCTCTTCCCGTGCTGGTTGGTATTTCTTCAGGTTTTCACTGAATCTACACTTATTCCTTCTATGCCCATTATTTCGTGTCCTTAGTGTGCCACAAGGGTGGTATGTGCCACTATCCCAGTTCTATTGTTTCGTTAAGTTTGGTGACAATCAACACAAACACCGAGAGACTAAATATTTTATTGCGTATACAGTAGTATGCAGGTGATACTTTGGCGGGCGATAGTGCGAGTTACGCACACTGGGAGTCAGTACAGTATCTCGCAAGTGTCTGTTCTAGACCACACTTGCAGGTAGACTAGTTATTATTCACTACTCTACTGCTTATATGCTCGGGCAACGCCTCCCCGTTCTCCAAAGGTTGGCAGGAATATTAACTGGACATAGATAAAGGTTTGAGTTCCATACTTGGTACTACGTAGAGCCTTGCTTCTCTCGTTAGGCTACTGCGTTTGGAGTGAGCATCTTATTGGGATAATCTCCTCGCTCCACCTCCACCTTGGTCTCTGCACCATCCTTGTTTATTCTTCCCCACTTGGCGGGATTGCGTCGATGGCTCCTAACAGGGGTGTTTGGTGCAGTGTGTTGTTTTGGTCACCTTGCTTGTGTCTTCAGTGACTCCTTTGTTCCTGTCTTTAGTTCTATGTTGGTACCGAGTTCCTGCGATTTTCTGTGTGACTTCCTGCAGGCTTCGGTGTTGCGCTGTCTGTGTGTGGGGGGGGGGGGGGTCTGGATTTTCGGTCTGCCGCTCCTGCCTTACTGGTTCCTTAATCCGTTCCTGACTACCCCAAAAACCCCACATCAAACTAAATTTTTATACCTAATTTACCTAATTCATCTAAATAAACCTACAAAACTGTGTTCCAGTTATTACTTACCTTGCTGTCGAGTGCTGTAGGCGTATGGAAGATGGTGAGGAGGGGGGAGGAGGAGAGGAGTTACTGTTGGAAGGGGAGTCCCCTTCCATAATCACATCACATAACCCCATGCCTTGTAACACTATGGATACCACTTCTCTTTCTAAATTTTTCAAACCAGCCCCTGCTTGCCTTAAACTCTTTCTTATCTGCATCACTCGTTGCAGGGGTATTCTTTAGAAGGTCTTCGTGCAACACCCTGGCTTTCTCACAAATAATGGCCTCCGAAACACTATCACCCCTCAACTCCTTGTCGTGTATCCAAATTAATAACAACTTTTCCACTTCTTCAAGTATTTGTGGTCTTTGTGCCGTTAATGTTCTTACTCCTTTTGCCACTTTAGCACCCATAATCTTATTTTTCTTCTTAAGTATAGTGCATATTGTTGATGTGGCTTTGTTGTACTGCCTACAAAGTTCAACAACACGTGTACCGTTCTCATGCTTCCGAATGATCTCTTGTTTCTCCTCTATTGTCATCCTCACATGAGCTTTCTGGCCTTTATCCTTACCACTGGCTTTCTTGGGACCCATGGTGAGATATATAATAACAAATTGTATAGACAAATCACCAAAAATCCAACAAAACACTGAAAATCCGCGAGAAGAATTGATGTGGGGGTAGTCACTGAGCGCGAGACAATAATAAACTGAGGGGCGGAGGGGCGACGAACGCGCTAGGTCGGCTGTACGCGTATCAACAAACTCGCGTCCAAACTCGCCTCCCGAAGTAACCCTCGCCTTCTGAGACAAATTTTTGGAGTAAATACACCTCGCCTTCCGAAAACCTCGCATACAGGGACAATCGCATTCCGAGGTACCACTGTACTTGGAACCGGTGGCTGGGTTCCAGTCCTGGCTCCGGTTTTTCTTTGTTCCTTTTCCGGACCGGGTGTGTTTGCTTTCCTGCGGTTCACGTCCCGAGTAGTTCTCCTATTGGATGCCTCAGGGACGTGTGTGTCATTCTTCCCTGCTGCAGCTGGTTATGTTGCTCCTTAGGATTGTGTGGGGTCATTGTTTTTTGTTTCACGTTTTGAGCTTTCGTTCGTAATGCTCGTTTCTCGTTGTTTGTGTCAGCGCTGATAGGTTCGTTGTTGGTCTCCCACCTGCGTGTTTCATCTCAGGGGCGGTGTGTGGTTTTCCTGACGGTCCTTCCGGTTTTCCTATTACTGCGAAGGGTCCTTCGGTCTTTGATAGGGTTGGCTTGTCTTCCCTTCGGGGTTGTTCCAGGACCGTCGTCTGGGATTGTGTCCTGTCACCTCGTATTGGGGTGGTGCTGGCAGAGCCGCTCTTGCTTGAGTTCCGTGTTGTGGTTCCTTCTGTTCCGTTCTGCTTGCTGTCCTGGGCATTGTCCCCCTCTGGCCTGCTCTTGAGTTCTGGTGCCGTCCTGGTCATTGGCCTGGGTGGTCTCTTCTTCTTGTTTTGGTCTGCTTTGTCTGTGGTCTTGGTTTTTAATTTGGGGCGCGTGGCATCCGCCTCCCAGTTCCTTCCCTGTTTTCCTTATCTGTGGTGAGGTAGCTCCGGGGAGCCGACGGGGCTCCCCCCAGAAAACTAGCGCTGAATGTAATGAAACGCCATTTTCTGGGTGAGTCCCGGAGGCTCCCCAGCATCCCTCCCTCCCTTTGGTCGGCGGCGTTTTTCGCATATTTTGACATCCAGCCTAAGAACTGCCAGTTGGATCGCCGGCGTGGAGGGTCTGGGGCTTCCCCTTTCCCCTCCTAGTTTTGATAATTTTGTTTGGGGAGTTCTGTCCACTCGTTCGGTTTTAGGTAGCAATATTTTCACCAGAATAGGGGTTTGTTTTGGGGCGCCTACCTTTCTGGGTGCCTATCCCGGTCAATGGCAGACATAGAATGCTCCCAACCACAAGGGGGCTTCTATAGGCTATTGCTTCCTTTGCCTCTTCTGAGGGGCCCAGGTTCTGGCTCGTGGTCCCCGGTAGGCAAGAACTCCTAGCACTTTGACTGATGCCAGAAAGTTATACATATCCATTCAGCCTGGATAGCTCCGAGGAGCCTCCGGGACTCACCCAGAAAATGGCATTTAATTACATTCAACGCTGTTTTTTTTCATCATCACAAGTGCCCTCAAATCACCTATTTTCTATGTACTACTTTTAGTATTTGAGTAGTATACCTGCAAATAAACTTTACCGTTTCCTCATTTTGTTAATATCATGTTTTCATCATTTAGCTATTCATCAGTTATTAAAGGTAATGTATGACTCCATCAAGCTAATAATAATCTCGTTACCTTTTCCAGCACCTACCCTCTAACAATTTAATGCTTGTTCAGTCATCTCAACAGCACCCTAAAATAAGTTCAATAAGGCTGCCAACACTCCCCTAGAAATACACATTACACCCATTGCATATATGTTAAATTTTGTCCCCTGTTGTCAATGAATAAACAATAGATGTATTATCTATAAAGATACTGTAAATGTTCCCATAATCAGCCTCAATGATTTTTCTACAGACCACTCCATAAATCCCAAGCCCTGGTAAGCACACCCACATCCTTCTCTCTACAGGAGGCTTTCATCATGTACCTAACCTAGAAATCTCCCAATAATTATCATATTTTTAGTGAATCTTACCTTGCTTCATTACTGCCACTGTCAGCCAGCCTACAGCTCTACCTATTATTCTTTATCTTCTTCCTCCCTAAAGTCATGCAAAAGTACTGAAAAGGGGTTTGTAATCTTTCATGGTGGACTACCCTCCCTTCTCAGCTTTGACCATTATTAATTTCTACCTACCACTGCTCACACACTTCCATTCACCACTATATTCTCTTCCATACTATTTTTTGGTCACACATTTATCTGTAAACCTGCACATCCTAACTTACATATAGCAGTTCTATCTTCATCTCATTCTGTCATTTTAAACATATTTCAAGTTTGGCCAACATGTTGTCAACCAGATCACTTACCACAGATGATGGCTGAGGAGTAGGGGGACAATATGCCCCACCTCTTAGGGAACATGGCACAGGGTCATTCACAACATTTGAAGCTGAGGGTAGACTGGACTGAGTGGCACTGGGTCTCACTGCCCACACACCCTCAACCCCCAGATCTACATTGCCACGATTCTGTAAATTATGATAAAATTATAACTGCCTATAATATTATGATATAAAGAAATAAGATATTAAAGTAACTGTCATTAGCCTCCCGATATTATTTTTAAATTAATTTTAACCAGTAAAATATATACGAAAGGATGCCCATGTATTATAATACACTAAATGTGGTTTGATCACATACCAATCAAGAAAGGTAACTCCAATCTCTATTCCAACATATCTCATGATCTAAACTATAGAATTTAAAAACGTATAATAATTCCAAACTATATTTTAATTCTGTTATTAATGTTATTATCAAATTTAATTAAAATTTAATTAAACTAGACCAAATCCAATAAAAAAATGTTGAATGTAATGAAACGCCATTTTCTGGGTGAAACCCAGAGGCTTCCCCGAGCTATACCGGGCTGATGTGCATATATTAGACTGTGGCAACAGTCAATCGAAGGAGTTCTAGGCCTACTGGGGACCAAAGCCAGAACCTGGAACCCCTCAAGAGAGGCACGAGAAGCAATGGCCTAAAGACACTCCCATGTACTTGGGAGCAGTCTTTATCTGCCATCTACCAGGTCAGGCACCCAGAAAGGCAGGAATTCCAAAACAAACTACTGCTGGTCAAAAATTGCAAAAGCCGAACTAGCAAACAAAACTCCAAATAAAAAACAAGCAAACACACATGATGTCACCACCACCGCAGTGCATCCGTCTGCGCTCCTCCTCCCCCCCCCCCCATCCCTGGGAGTGGGAAAGGGGGGGGGGGGTCCCAGACCTCCATGCCGCCTATTCTCCTCAGTTCATAAGCCGAGTATCAAAAATGCGAAAAAAAATTTGACCAGAGGGAGGGATGCCAGGGAGCCTCCGGGTCTCACCAAGAAAATGGCGTTTCATTACATTCAACGCTTTCTGTGGAGAACCCCTTCAGCTCCCCGGTGCTACCTAACCAAAGATGAAGAAGAAAAAACTTAGCGGAGAGGCGGTCGTCGCTCACTCCTCAACTAGAAATCAAGACAACTAGCTGCAACATGCGACCAAAGGCATAAACGCCCAAGACGAGCTAGGAACATTAACGAGGTACCGTGCGACCAGGACCTTGTTCGACCTCCAAAAGCCCCAAATGTTAGCCCCGGTTAGCCCGCGAACTTACAAACGTTAAGGGCACGGGAATAGACCGCAGGCTGGCTGGACCTAATAATCCTGGGGACGACCTGGGAGACCCGCGCCCTGGAACAGGGAAGAAGAGAAATTAGGTCCACCCAAAACGCATCCCCTGCCATGGAGGCCGTGGCATGCAAATAACGGCGAAGAGTCGCAACCAGACACTAAACATAATGCGTCCCCCGCCGAACCAACCAAGCATTAACAACCCAAGGACACCATCGAAAAGCTCCGATGGTGTCCTTGGCTTGCAGCAGACTCATTCTTCGCCAGAAAAGGAGATGGCTGCAAATGAACGAAACGCCCACCAGGACAGAAAAAGCAGAAACGTTTGTGCTGGAGGAGAGCACGAAACTCCCCAACCCAGCCCCGGAGTCCAATGCCAAAAAAAAAATAAAAAAATAAAAAAAAAAAGCCTTAGAATAACAGTCTTGAACCAAGAGGGGCCACCACAAACCAAGGAGAGGAGAGGAAAGAAAGCACCCGGTCCAACAACCAGGATGGCTCAGGCGGGGCATGACAGGCCAGAGGAGAAACAATGCCCAAAAAAGTTTGCAAAACGGAGCAGAAGTGACATCCACCCCGAATGGAGGCTGCAGCGGCTCTGCCATCGCCGCACAATACGAGGCAACAGTATTTGGCATAATATGACGGTCCTGAAAACCCAAGAGAGAAAGGACAAAACAATCCGATCAGAAATCGAAGACAACCTAAGCAGAGACAAAAAATGCCGAAAGGGCCACCAGGAAATTTCATACTGCCGTGAAGATGAAACTTACAGGTGGGACACCATAAATGAAGCCACCTGATCACCATACAAGTGGTGATAAACCCGCTTCAAAAAGACCAGACGCAAAGGATAAGGAAGAAGATCGAACCAGCCACGTACCGGACTGGACCGATCTGTTGAAAGAGGCGAAGCCGCGGGAAGACCCTCGGGTTCGGACATCGAGTAAGAAGAGCCTGAAACCAGAGCTAGCCGGCAACGTAGGAGCAAACAAGACTACTGTTCCCAGGTAAGGTACAGTTAACCCCACCTCGACCAGTCCAGCCGAAAGGCATTGACCCCCAACGGCTTCGCGGTCCCGGAAGGGTGCCACATACACTGGAAGATGCCTCAACCACGCCTATGCGAAGAGGTCGACAAAGCCACCTGATCACCACAGAGATGGTAATACCCGCGTCAAAATAACAAACGCGAAGAGCCGAGGAGAAGGCCGAACCAGTCACATACAGAACCAGTCCGACCTGCCGAAAGAGGCGGAGCCGCGGGAAAACGCCCTGGGTTTGGACACCTATCAAGCATCGTCTGAAAATAAAGCTGGGCCGGCCACCAAGGGGCCATGAGGACTACTCTCTTTGGAATGGGCTCCAACCGAGCCAGAACTCGAAGCAACAGCTGGACCGGAAGAAGAGGAACAGGTACCCCCAACCTCGACCAGTCCTGCCGAAAGGCATCCACAGTGAACGCCTCGCAGGTGGGTAAGGGCGCCACATAAAATGGGCGACGCCTAGGCCACGCCGACTCGAAGACGCCCATGGCCAGGAGTCCATACGTCCGGCAGAGCCAACAAAACAAATCGGCGACGACTGACCAATCCGCTAACAGAGGAATGAACCGAGACAGGCTGTCCGCCAGGACGTAGGAGACACCCCGGACATAAACCTCACTGTTAGCCAAACCCCGAGAATCCAGTAAACGAGCCACTCGAAGGGACCAACCCCAAAGCCAAACACCTAAGAGAAACCCCGTGGATCCGGCAAAGAACTGCCAGAGAACAGTCCGAATGGAGCTGAATAGTAGAGCACCAAGTGACCCGAACCCTCCGAAGCGCAAACCAGACAGCCATGAACTCCCGAACCATGCTGTGAGCCCGACGGACGGACAGACCCCACCATCCTCAGCCGACCTAGTGAGCACTGGTCACAAAACCCCAGCCGAGAGATGACCGGTCCGTGAACACATCGAGCAAAGGCTCAGAGAAGTGCCAAGGCACGGAACCCCGAAAACCCCAAAGAGGAAGCTGGTGACGCAGCACTAACACAATATCCCCGGAGGAACGAACCCAATGATTGCAAGAGAGGAGGAAGGGGAGTCTCCGAAGGAACCAAACAGACGCCGAAGCCAAACCCGACCCTGCGGGCAGACCAGCACATCGAAGTTCAGACTCCCGCACAACTGCTCGAGCAACCGCCGAGCAACCCGGGATCCCCTCATGAACAGCCGAACACGGGACCACAGCCGCAGCAACACTTCTGGACGGAACGACAAGGAGTGGCCCAAGACCCCTAAACAAGACCCAGCCAGGTCCGAACCCAGGACAGAAACAGATGGAATGGCCCCCAGATCACCAGGAAACCAAACCCAGCAATCTGGAAAGAACCACACACCTGGTGAGCAGACAAGCAGACCGATTGGGAGCCCACACCAAACAGTCGTCAAGGTAGGTCAGACACCGAATCCCAAGCAGACTCAGACAGGGCACCAAGATCCGGTAAAGATGTGTAAATACACCAAGTGCCAATTACAAACTAGGGAAGGCAACAAAAGCGGCAAGCCTGAAGCCCCACCACCAATTGTGCCAGTCCCAGAAAACTGGAGAAGAACGTGCTAAGAATGGACCTGGAGGTCCAGGGCCACCATCCAGGCACCAGGCCCAAACAGAAGCCGGACCTGAGACAACAGTCCTCCGGTGAGGGCATAGAATCCAGGGCGAAGACTGAAGAAGTCCAGAAGAACTGCAGATTCGCCAGGCCTGTGTCTGCATAGAGCAGACGGAAACCCCAGAAGGATGGGGCGGATTGACCACGTCCAACGCACCCGCTAAGATGACATGAAGAAGCGCAGGGGAAGAAGCCCACCCCGTCAGCCCTAAACCCCCCAAAGGGGAAGAGGCCGTCCGCCGCCGCTACCAGAGGCCGGAAGACAACCAAAAGCATCCACTAACTGCGGGACAATGCGAGAGTCAACAGAGCAAGCTGCTCCCCCAGCGCCCCATCAACAGCGAAGGGAACCCGGAATCGAACCAGGGGGAGCCCAAGACCGTCAGTAGTTTCAAAGCGTTATATGACAAAGCGTGCCAGGAAGACGGGACACCACCAGCATAGCTCTCATCCTGTAACTACACTAGGTAATTACACACACACACAGTGTACACACACACACACACACACACACAAATTAGGAAAATTAGGCAGGAAAGAGAAGGGTGGGCCGACTGCATTTTCCTGGATTGCCAAAAAGCCTTCGACACAGTACCCCATAAAAGGCTGTTAAAAAAGTTGGAGCAACAGGCAGGAGTAAAAGGGAAGGTGCTCCAGTGGATAAGGGAGTACTTAAGCAACAGGAAACAACAAGTAACGGTGAGGGGGAAGACATCAGAGTGGCGAGATGTCACCAGCGGAGTCCCACAGGGCTCAGTACTTGGACCCATCCTGTTTCTAATATATGTGAACGATCTTCCAGAGGGTATAGACTCATTCCTCTCGATGTTTGCTGATGATGCAAAAATTATGAGAAGAATCAGACGGATGAAGATAGACAGAGACTACAGGATGACCTGGATAAACTGGAGGAATGGTCTAGAAAATGGCTGCTGAAGTTCAACTCTGGAAAGTGTAAGGTGATGAAATTAGGCGAAGGGAGCAGGAGGCTGAACACAAGGTATCATCTGGGAGGGGAAATCCTGCAAGAATCAAATAGAGAGAAGGATCTGGGGGTTGATATCACACCGAACCTGTCCCCAGAGGCCCACATCAAAAGAATATCATCAGCGGCATATGCTAGACTGGCCAACATAAGAACTGCCTTCAGAAACTTGTGTAAGGAATCTTTCAGAACCCTGTAT